ACCTTTGGAAACCTCATCTATACTCTGCCTACTTATCCATCTTTTCAGGAACTAGTTCTTTCCACCTTGGCAGCTTCAAGAAGCTGCAGTTTGAAAATAAAAAAAGTCATTGACTATAAAACAAATTATTTTGCCACCATTTAGTGTGTAGATGTAAGTGGTACTGTGCTGCCTATGGATGCTAGAATAGGAGCTACATAGCCCCAGATCAGTGAAGATTTTCAATTTTCAGTTTCAAGTCCCATGGGTGGAACTTTCAAAATCTCACTGCTATTACAAAAACAAAGATACTTTATATGAAGACTGGACTTTTCCAAAGTATGTTTGCAACTAATTTCTTTCTTTCTCTAGGTCTGGACATTTTTACTCCTTGTACTAAAGGAGTCTGGCATGGAGGTACAAAAAAGGAGTACTATCCCTAGGTTTTGTTTCATGCACAGAACTCTTTGCACTAATAAAGGGACTCCATTTGGATGGGATCTTTAGTAAAAGAGCTGTTTGAGTTCGGTGCTGCTGCTTGTAGCTATGAGGTGCAGTGTGTTGCTCAGAGCTATTGCAAAATTCTCCAAGAACATAGAAGTTCCTGGTGTTATCTTCCCATTCTTCCTCACTGCAACTTGTGTTCCAAACCTGCAGGAACCTGCAGATTGTTAAAAACACTCTGAAACATTTCTTTAAATTTTTTCCCTCTCTTGGTGGTATATGGCTAACTCAGGATGCATATTGGTAAAGTTTGGTAAAAATGTTTGCCACCTGGCTAGCCCAATTTCATGTTGTATACAATAAACTGATAATCTAAAGATGGAATAAATATATAGCACAGGATATAGCAATGACACAGGTGAGAAAGAGGGAGTGCTCAGTTTTAATATTTGTATATTTGTTAAATGTTGTACATATGTAATTCAATATAAAAATATTTCATACTTTCAGACATGGAATCCCATAGCTTGCTAGCTGTTATAACATATATTTTATTATTGTAAATGTACAGTAGCTGCTTCACCAAAGGTAGTCTTAAAAGGGCTACCAATGCAGTTGATTCTCTAATGCCTGCTAATGGATCACAAAAGTCTCAGAGGAATGGTCAGGTGAGGTATGTCTTGACTGATATGCTGTTCTGCAGACTCTGAAAACAAAGAGTGTGTATTGGTTTAACAGTCGTACTTCAGGTTTTAGGTGATGCCATGACTTCACAGAAGTCAGTGTCGAAACTTCCACTGACTTCAGCTGGATCCAAATGTCATCCCTTCTATTTATAATAAACATTGGGGTGGATGGGCCCCACTCACAACAAACCTGATATGCTAAAGATATGTTTGCCTACAACATCTTTCTACAAGATTTATTTTTCATCTTTGGTTTTGAATTTAATAATGAAATTCAGCTCAGTGCCTGATCATTTTATCTCTTGGGGGTGATGTTCTATTCCTTATCATCTCATAATGCAGTTCCTGAATGCTTACTGTTTAATTTGGCCCAATATGTATGTACGTATGTTGTAGGGTTTGGGTTTTTATACTTTTTTTATCTTTAAAATATAACAAACAAAAATATTATTTAATTGATAAAGTCAGTGCAAATTCCTGTTTTGTTACCGTGAAAAGGGGCATGTTCTTCAAACAGTGCATGAGTGATCTGGCTCCCTAGAAAAGCAGGGGAATAATCCAGCTCTCTCCAACATTTTGGATTCAAGTTTAACTCTCATCTGTGATGAGAAGCTGAAAAACAAAGCCCAGGGCAAAATCGGGTCCTTCTTACTAAGTACTATAGTATTAGGCTGCTTAATTGTGGCTAAAATAGGTTTCCATGCTTAGCTGAAATAGAGAGTGGATACCAATAGGGCCAGTCCATTCCATCACTGAACTTTATTTTAAACTCAACCACAAAACTAGAATCAAAGTGTAAAGCAGAATTATTTTTCCAATTTCCTAGCACCAGAGATTTGTAACTATCAAATTACCTGGTCTTTAGTAGAGCCAACATGACAATTCCCAAGATTAGTATTATGCAGGAAGTGTATGCAATAATGTGGATTGTTTCACCTACAAATAAAACATAGAAAAATACATTAAAAATGAATTTCTTTAGGTATAATAGGCAAGTTCAGGGCCTAGGCGGGAATATATAATCAGGATAAATCGGCAATCCACCTGAAAATTGTACAACCAAAAAAAAAAATGGACTAAACACTGTTAGCTTGATGATGCACCAACAGTATAAAGTTCCACCCCTTCTTCCCCTGCTGCTACAAAAATTTGCAGAACAACCTTATTTTCAACTGAAAAATAATCACCCCAGGAGTCTTTTGTATATATACATTCACCAGTATATATATGACTAGTAGCTTAACCCCATGAGGACATTTGACATTGAATGGATTTGTCCTTTTGTATATTAAGTAGAGTTTTATTTAACAAACACAGTACAGCTCTGTGCATTTTTCTGTACTGACTACCAGTTTGTTTTCAGGTTGATCTGAAGATTTTGGTTCTAATCTATAAAAACCAAATGGCCCTGGGACTTATCTGACTGTCTGCTTCAGGCAATGGTTTACAACCATTTTAAGAGTCGGGGTTCCCCTCCACAACTTTTTTTGAATTTGGCAGCACCCATGGGTGAGAACCCCTGTTGTGCTGCCTCCACTCACATTAGTGCTTCTGAACCAGCGTGCTACCATGTGCTTCTGCCTGTATTAGGGTTTTCTGATAAACCTAAAACAGGCAGGAGCAGAAGGGTAACTAAGACGTTTTGTGCCTGGAGCAAAACTCCCCTGTGCTCCTGAGGTGTGTGTTGGTACAGGGAAGGGGGAGTGTGGTCTTACCTGCCCTGTGTGTTCCTATACCCAGCTCCTGTGCCTGGGCAGTAGAAATATCTGCTTTAGCCCATCCTGACCCCTCCAGATGAGCAAAGCAATGGTGCTTCAGGCCGGCCGGCACTCTCCAGAGGGTTAGTCCAAAAGGCTCTGGCCAGAACACATGCTTCTGCCACAGCCCTTCCCAGTTCAATCCCACAGACTCCTCCTGAAGACAGAGGGGTGTGGGACAATCTCACATGCCTGGCACACCACTGGTTCCAGGAAAAGCCTGTGAGGTTGGACCAGGCAGTGCTTCAGGAGGACTAGGTGCTCCAGCTGCAGCTATTTCCTGATCTGCCTCTGCAGGAGGTGTCTGGAAGGGTGTCTTGGCACTCCAGAGTGCTGTGCCACCCCAGTTGAGAAGTGTTGACTTAAGAGGCCAGCTTCTCCTTTGGACATTTCACAATTGCAGCAGCAATTGATTTGGGACCATATTGGTATAAAAGAATTCAGGAGCTCTCACCAAGGCACTATTTATTCAGAACCTATGTCTTGGCATTATCTCATTCTCTTGGGTCTCCTTCCAGCATATCACTGAAGTACAAGTTAATGGGACTATTTATATGCTTAAAATTAGAACAGGCTACATTTTTTTAAATAAAATGAATTTCTATTGGAACATACCAATTTGCTGAAATCAAGATTTTTCATCACAATGTACCACATGACAAAACTTTTTAACAAAAGTTTTCTTAGATCAAGAAAGAATTTTATGTGTATGAAAATAAAGGGCTTAGCTTCATGAAGAACTGCAATAGCCTGTGTTTGCCATTGCTAATCTGAAATGTTACAAAATTACAAGTCAGCCCCATTAAAAACCATGAGGTTTCTTACAAAGAATATACTAGCAAATTAATCAATTCTGGACTTTTCGAATATACTCTAGTCACATTTCAGTGTTTTCCTGAAATGTCCATCTTTTTTCTTAATTATTAAAGCTGAAGGTTTTGCATATTTGACATGACTACAGGAGCTGAGGGTGTGTGTAGATGAAACGGGGGCCATAAATTGAAGCGGTGGGTTTTAAAAATGTTGCTTCAATTTAGGGCCGATTAAACCCCCGTGTCATGCACACATCTGACTCACCTGCCTTTCTGGCAGTAGGGAGGGGAGGGCGAGCTGCCAGCGGGCAGAGCAGTCCTTGGACTGTGGTAGGGGCTGGTGCTTCCCTCTGGCAGTTGCAGGCCACCCCAGATGGCACCCACCCTCAGGCACTCAGCTTGGGTAGCCCCGGGGGGGCACAACAGCCATGGAGGGGAGCACTGGGCCCCCGCACAACTCAGGCAGGCAGGTAGGCTCCAGGGGTGGGGCGAAATAGATCAGGCTCGTCGCTTTTCTTGGGCAGAGCCTGTCTTCCCAGGCTGCTGCCAGAATGGCTGTAGAGCCATGGAACTGCACGGAACCCAGCCCTCTCTCCATGGCTGTAGAGGCAGCAAACTAAAACTTTAGTTTGCTGCACCCCAAGTTATTTAAGGTGCATTATGCTGCCAAATTTCCTACGGTGGCTGGAATTAATGTGCAATACACCTCTGAGGTGTGCAAACACACATGCCATTAAAGCAGTACAGAAGCATTTAGCCTGCTTTAAAGTGTCGTGCACACACGCCTCTCATTTAGTCTACACACGGCCTGAGGCTTTAAACCAATCACGACTGATTTATGGAAGGCAAAACTGCAAGAGTCTCATTCTTTATCAGGTATGGTACTGGTGTTTCATAGGTTCATAAATTGTAAGGGGCTGGAAGGGACCTCACAAAATCATTGGGTCCAGTCCCACTGCCCTAAGCAGGAAAGAAAAATGGGGTCCGGTGACACCAGTGAGGAGATAGTTCAATCTCCTCTTTAAATTTCCAGGGTAGGTGATTGCACCACCTCTGGAGGGAGCTTATTCCACAGTCTGGAGACCCTAGTTGTGAAGTAGTTTTTCCTAAGGTTGAGACTGAAACAGTCTTCCAGAAGTTTGTGACATTACTCCTAGTTTTTCCCAAGGGTGCCCTGGTGAAGAGTTGTTCACTGAACCCTTGATGTACACCTCTGATGTAGCAGTGAGCTGCTACCAAGTCCTCTCTCAGCCTTCTTTTTTCAGGCTGAAGAGTCCCAGATCCCTCAGTCTTTCCTCGTACAGCTTGCCATGCAAGTCTCTGATCATATCGGTGGCTCTTCTCTAGAATCTCTCAAGCTTTTCTGCATCCTTGTTGAAGTGCAGTGCCCAGAACTGGACCCCTAAGGGACACCACTGGGTACTTCTTGCCAGGATGACATAGATTTGTTCATTTGAACTCTCTGGGTCCTACCCCGCAGCCAACTCCCTATCCACCTAACCATTGAGCAGTTAAGCCCATAATCCTCCAACTTTCCTGTGAGAACATCATGGGATACCAGATCAAAGGTCTTTTGGAAGTATAGGCATATTATGTCAACCTCTTCCTTCTTATCCAAGTGGCAAGTTACCTGGTCGTAGAAGAAGATGAGATTGGTAAGACAAGACCTACCCATGATGAATCCATGCTGGCTGTCATTCAGAATCCCACCTTCTATCACACATAGACTCCTTAATGTTCCAGGATTTTCCCTGGGATAGATGTTTGACTAATTGGCCTGTAGTTGCCTGGGTCCTCTCTCCTCCCCTTCTTGAAGATGAGCGCAACATTGGCCCTCTTCCAGTCTTCAGGGACCTCTCCCGAGCACCATTGTTTTGGAAAAATTTTGCCAGAGCTCCCACGATGACTTCAGCCAGCTCCTTCAGCACTCTCGGTTGACTGACTTATAAATGTCTAACTTTTCTAACTGAAAAACGCACCTGCTCAATGTCAATAGTAGGAAGGCAGTTATTCCCACCATGCCCATTCTGAACTTATCTAGTGTGATTTTCCCCTTAGTCCAGTGAAATACTGAAGCAAAGTAGTCATTCAAACACATTTCTTTGGGTAAATCTGATATTTTTTATTAGACCAACTTAAATAGTTGGAAAACAATTAATTAACTGTTTGTTGGAAAACAATTAATTAATTAAAGTTGGTCTAATAAAAGATATCAGATTCACCCAAAGAACCTTGTCTGCCTATTTCCTTAGACCAACAAGGCTACAACCTGCACCCCTGTAAGTAGTCATTCAGGCATTCAGTTTTCTCCTGAATGTCAGTAACCAGCTGTCCTGAGTTGTTAAGCAATGGTCCCACACTTCCATTTGTTTTCCTCCTGTTCCCTACATACCTAAAGAAGGACTTTTTATTGTCCTTGATTCCTGTTGCTAGTTTAAATTCAATCACCACCTCAGCCTTTCTAATCTTCTCCCAACAAGTGCAGCTGTTGTTGTATAGTCCTTCTTGGGAACTGTCCCAAGCTTCCATTGTTTGTACACCTCTTTCTTCTTTTGCAAGAAGACCATGATATCCCTATTAAGCCAAGAGAGCTTACCAGCCTTTCTGCTACCTTTCCTCTACATGGGAACAGACTTCTTTTGTGATTTGAGAATAGTGTCCTTGAGGAATGACCACTCTTCATAAACTCTTTTCACCTTCGGTCTCTGGTCCCGCAGCGCTTCCTCTACTATTACTCTAAGCCTGTTGAAATTCACTATTTCGAAGTCCAAAACTTTGACCTGCTAGCTGATTTGCCTGCCTTGTGATGGACAGTGAACATGATGGTTTCATGGTCACTGTCACCCAGGCTACC